CACACGCGCCCGGCGTGAGTTTTAAGCCACCGGGTCCAGGACATGAACCGCGGTCGACTACGTGGGAGTCCAGCGACATAGCCATTACGCTAACTGCTGGTTCCCGTGAAAGCTGAATTTTTAACATGTTCCCCAGATGATGCTCATGCACACTAGAGTTTGAGAACAATTAATGTAGGAACTGAATAAGCAATAAGTCACTGATATCAAAGGAAATGCAGAGTCTTTTTCACCTAATCTATAGCTCCCTTTTTATGCCAAACTATTCCCTAAAATGAGATTCTACTCTATTCTGTTAGAATCTACACACCTATACATTGGTAAAACCTTACCACAGAAGGAGCAAGTCCTTTTGAATTCTGTTTCTTCTTGGGCTTTGAAGGGGTTTGCTTATCTGAGGTATTGTGAGCACCACTGATTTGATTCACTTGCCTATAAAACCCATCTGAAAGATATTTTGAGGAAATGAGTTTAAGTTTCGGAACATTGATCTCATGCTGAATGCATCTGTAAATTAAGTAATTTTTGACCGAATTAGTGAAATTAGAAACTAACAGTCAGCTGTGCTGTATCTCCTATGCAGAGATAATAATGTATAAACAGGAAGTAAGCACAAAGATGTTTATAGCAGCTAAATTCATCATTGCCAAAACTTGGAAGCAACCGAAATGTTCTTCAGCAGATGAATGCATAAACAAACTGTGGTATATCCAGATAATGGAATATCATTCATCACTATAAAGAAATGAGCTATCAAGTCACAAAAAGATATGAGGAAACTTAAATGCATATTACTAAGTCAAAGAAGCCAATCTGAAAAGGCCACATACCATTGGGTCCTTCACAGAAAAATGTGTCGTGACTTTTCCGACAACCCAATATTATATATGACTCCAACTACAACACATTTTGAAAAAGGCAAAACCATGGAGACAGCAAAAAGATCAGTGCCTGCCAGGGCTCAGTGGATGTAGGAAAGAACAGCGGAGGATTTTAGGGCAGTGACACCATTCAAAGTTAGGCACGTGCCATTAAATTTGTTGATATTCACAGAATGAATAACATCAACAGTGAACCTTGATGTAAACAGTAAACTTTGGGTGATAATGATGCATGAATGCAGGGTTATTGATGGAAAATACTGGGTGGTCATAAAAGTCATGATGCATTTTCACACAAAAAATGCTTTGTCCAACAACTCAATATGTACCAATCACATGCACAATGTTGATAATGGGTGAGGCTGTGATATGTGGGGGTAGGGAGGTTTACAGGGACTCTACTTTCTGTTCAATTCTGTTGTGAACCTAAACTGCTCTAGAAACAATCTATTAAAAATTTAATTAAATAACTAAAAATAAATGGGCGCAGATCATCACTTTCTGCTTAATGGCACGACGGAACAATATGAGCTTATATTTCATTTAATATAATTTTTTTTTAATTGCCATAGGGTGCCTCTGCTGGCAGAAAGGGGGGGAGAGGAAGAAAATAATCCCCAATGGGGCATGGGAATCCTGATTATCTCTTCTCCATTTCTTCTTTCCATTGAGACTTTTGGCATACATGCACATGCATCTGGCATGTTTCTCAAGTCACTAGGCTGAGACTTGACCCATGGTTGGCCATTGTGGGATTGGGCCTCCTCAATGAATGACTAGGCTTTGAGGCTACCCTGTAAAACTAAAAAACACTTTTAATTAAAATAGAAGAAAAACTGGCCAGTGAGCCTATACACCAATAATTTTCATCCCATCAAGAATTTGTGTAAATGGTGTTATAATTCAGAAGACAATATGAGGTAAAAATGTGAAGGTAATATTTGTCACAATCACTATGACGCTAAGAACTGGAATAGTGAGAAGCAAAGGAGGAATATAAACACATGTGCCCCCTGGTGGCAACCAGATGAAATCACTAACACTTTCATTCAAATAAGTATGAGGTGACCCCTACACAGATCAAAATTACAACAGAATTAGACTACCTTTTTTGTTACACCTTGTGTCCCAGACCATGATGTTGCCATCTCTTCCACCTGTACAGAATACAGCTGTGGAAAAAGTTTATCAAGACGTTAAAAAAATCAGTTAATGAAACATTGAGTTCAAATTTCCTAGAGTATCTAGTATGTGCTAGGTATTGTATTTGGCACTAGAGACTAATATTTTTTAAGTATATAGCTCAACAACAAATAGAAAAAGTGACTGTGATGGAAAAAGATTATGAAGAGTCAAACTTGACTACATTGAACAAAAATTGTACCAAAGAATTCCTCTCTGTAAGCTATCTTAAAACCACATATTTGATATAATAAAGTTACAGTAAGAATGATAAATAAGCAATACCCAAAATATATTGAATGCCTGCTATTCTAAGTGCTAGATACTAGCCTATGTGTTTTATACAAATGATCTCAACCCTTCTTATGAGCCTTATTAGGTAGGTATTATTCTCCCCATTTTGCAGGTGAGAAAAGTCACAGAAAAGATCATTTATAATTAAGAAATAAACAAAAACAAAAAATAATTATTAAACAAACAGACACACAAATAACCTCTGTCCAAGTCTCTGGCTGACCCCTGAAACATATGTGAAAGAAAAAAACTGAGAGCAGCTTGCAACTGAGGCTTAAACTAAAGAAACAAATTGAGATATGACATAGTGCCCTTCCGTAGGTGTGACAGTTTGCAATTTGAGTTAACTGAGTGTCAAAACAAAAATATCAACTATATCCCAAACAATATAACAGAATTCACAATCCAACATACCACTAATAATGCCTAGGATATAAAATTACTTGGCATACAAAAAGCCAGGAAAATGAGTTATTCTCAAGAGAAAATAAATCAATGGAAGACAACTAAGATACAATTTATAGAGAAAGGTGGTATAGCAGATATAATTATGCCAAGGAAGTAAAGGAATATACATTTGCAACCAATGAAAAGATGGTAAATCCCAGGAGAGAAACAGAACTTATAAAAAGCAAATGACGGACCAGCAGTTAGCGTAATGGCTATGTCGCTGGACTCCCACGTAGTCGACCGCGGTTCGAGTCCTGGACCCGGTGGCTTAAACTCACGCCGGGCACGTGTGCATGCGTGCCCAAGATCCCAAGAGGAGAATGGAGGAGAAGGTATTGCGGCGTGGCCATCCCCCCTGGGGGGTGATTTCCTGCTTTCTATCTCTCTGTCTCTCTCTGTCTGGCGAGCGCACGCGCCCTATAGCAAAAACCTCTCCAAAAAAAAAAAAAAAAAAAAGCAAATGAAAATTTTAGAACTGAAAAACAATATTAAAAATGATAAATTCACTGGATAGGCTTAAGAGCAGAATGGAGAGAACAGGTAAATTCAGCAAACTTAAAGAGAGATTAACAGAAATCATTCAATTTGAAAGAGAGAACAATAGATTGAATGTTATGCTAAGTAAAAAAAGCCAGTCACAGAAAACCACATACTGCGTCATTCCATTTATTTGACTGTAGAATATGCAAACCTGTATAGATAAAAAGTAGCATAGTAGTTGTATAGGCCTGGTAGGGGCATGAGTCAGGAGAGTTCTGTTAATGAATTCAAGAGTCTTCTTGGGCTGGTGAAAATGTTTCAGACTCACACTGTACTGATAGCTGCCATCTCTATGCTTAATTAAAATAAAAATCAATAAAATGTACTCTTCAAATGGGTAAGTTTTATGTGTTAATTATATCAGGAATTTAAGAAACTGAAAAAATGAATAGAGCCTCAAGTATTCATAGCACAATTTCAAAACATCAAATATATAAGTAACTAAAGTTCTAGAAGATGGGCAAAGGGAAAAAAAAAGAATGAGTTTTAAAAGTATTTAAAAAATGACAGAAAACTTCCCGATATATTGAAACATAAATTTATGTATTCGAAAAGCTCAGCAAGCCTCTAACAGGATAACTTTTAAGGAAATTTTGACTAGATAAACTACAGTCAAACCTGAAAACCAAACACAGAAAATCCTGAAAGCAGCCTGGAAAAATGACACATTATACAGATGGAAGTTATTTGAATGGCCACACAACAGAAACCATGAAAAACAGTGGAACTTCTTCTTCAAGTTATGAAAGAAAAAATGCTGTCGACTCAGAATTTTATATCCAACAAAAATACCCTTCAAGGGACCAGCAGTTGGCGTAATGGTTATGTCGCTGGACTCCCATGTAGTCAACTGTGGTTTGAGTCTAGGTCCTGGTGGCTTAAACTCATGCTGGGCGTGTGTGCGCGTGCCTAAGATCCTGAGAGGAGAATGGATTGAGGTATGGCCATCTCCCCTGGGGGTGATTTCTTGCTTTCTGTCTCTCTGGCGAGTGCATGCACCCTATAGGAAAAACCTCTCCCCCACACACAAAAAAAAAACAACCCCTTCAATAATGAAGATTGAATAAAACCCATTTACATAAAATGACACATTATACAGATGGAAGTTATTTGAATGGCCACACAACAGAAACCATGAAAAACAGTGGAACTTCTTCTTCAAGTTATGAAAGAAAAAATGCTGTCGACTCAGAATTTTATATCCAACAAAAATACCCTTCAAGGGACCAGCAGTTGGCGTAATGGTTATGTCGCTGGACTCCCATGTAGTCAACTGTGGTTTGAGTCTAGGTCCTGGTGGCTTAAACTCATGCTGGGCGTGTGTGCGCGTGCCTAAGATCCTGAGAGGAGAATGGATTGAGGTATGGCCATCTCCCCTGGGGGTGATTTCTTGCTTTCTGTCTCTCTGGCGAGTGCATGCACCCTATAGGAAAAACCTCTCCCCCACACACAAAAAAAAAACAACTCCTTCAATAATGAAGATGTAATAAAGACAGTTTCAGATAATGGAAAAGATAGGTAATTTATTACCCTCAGACTCACAGTATTAAGAAATATTAAGAGCTATTCTATAGGCTCAAGGGAAATGACGCTCGAGGACAGAATAAAATGGTGTTGCCAAGGAGAAGTCATGAGTTCTGTTTTGGATACGTTAAATTTGAAGTGCATGTGGACAGGGTAAGGACAAAAATACAGATCTGGGTCAATACATATTACGTAGACTGTAAAACTAAGCAAAATTGGAAGAGATGAGGGAGAAGGTATAGACTGAAAGGAATAAAAGGCCAAACCCCAAATCCTGGGCCATCCAATACTTCAATAGGTAAAGAAGCACAGTACACAAACATAACTATGAAGGGATAAAGAGAAAGATGAAAGGAAAAGAGAACCAGAGGGAGTGGTATCACAAATTCAAAGGAAGAAAATAATTTTTATGAAATTTTAGAGGACAAAAAGTATAAATTATCAAATAGATAGAAGTAAAGTCCTGAAGAGGTCCATGGTTTCTGACAATGAGATGATCAATGACCTTAACAATGATGATTTCAAGAGCTATTTGTGGGGACCAGCAGTTAGCGTAATGGCTATGTCGCAGGACTTTCACATAGTCACCACAGTTCACGTCCCGGACCCAGTGGCTAAAAACTCACGCTGGGCACGTGTGCGTGCGTGCCTAAGATCCCGAGAGTGGGATTGAGAGGAGAAGGGATTGCGGTGTGGCCATCCCCCCTGGGGGGGGGGATTTCTCACTTTCTGTCTCTCTGTCTCTCTCTGTCTGGCGAGCGCATGCACCCTATAGCAAAAAAAAAAAAAAAAAAAAGAGCCATTTGTGGAAAATGTATTGAATAAAATTGGGATGAGGAAATTTAGTAAGCTTTCGACTACTTTTACAAGACTTAACAGAGATCGGAACTGGGACCAGCAGATGGCATAAGGGCTACATTGCTGGACTACCACGCAGTCAACCAAGGTTTGAATCCCGGACCCAGTGGCTTAAACTCACGCTCACGCTGGGTGCATGTGCATATGCACCCAAGATCCCGAGAGGAGAATGGAGGAGAAGGGATTACGGTATGGTCATCCCCCTGAAAGGTGATTTCTTGCTTTCTATCTGTCTGTCTCTGTTTCTGGCAAGCGCATGTGCCCTATACCAAAAACGTCTCCAAAAAATAAATGGAAAAAAAAAGAAGAGATTGGAACTAAGAAAGTGCTAACAGGGTTCAGTCACAGTGACCCATGCTAAGATGCTCCTACTCCTGAGGAACCAGCAGTTAGCGTAATGGCTATGTCGCTGATTCCCACGTAGTCGACCGCGGTTCGTGTCCTGGACCTGGTGGCTTAGAACTCACGCCAGGCGCATGTGCGTGCGTGCCCAAGATCCCGAGAGGAGAATGGAGGAGAAGGGATTGCGGCATGACCATCCCCCCTGGGGGCTGATTTCTCGCTTTCTGTCTGTGTCTGTCTGGTGAGCGTAGGCACCCTATAGCGAAAACCTCTCAAAAAAAAAAAAAAAAGATGCTCCTACTCCTGGTCCAACCCAAATGGATGAGCACATGCCATAATTTGTAGGTACAGTCCTAGCTAACCAGAAGGCTTGGGAAAGAGGATTATTGTGTGGTGAGAACCTATCAAAAATATCTCTCTAGTTCATAAAACAAAAAAGACAAAAACAAAAAGGATAACAGCTAAAAGGAAACAATGAGTTAAGATATTTTTGAGGATAGGCCACACACATGATCTAGTCTTTCCTAAAGAAACAGCCAATAGAGAGTGAGAACTTGAAGATATAGGAGCTCTGGGAATACAAGTAATGGCAAAAGGTGTTGGGGAGGATCAAGAATGTTTCTCAGGGACGACAGGTGGTGTGGTGGTTAAGGCGCTAGACTCCCACATGGTCTAGCATAGTTTGAGTTTTGGACCTGGAAGCTTAAAAAACATGCCAGGCAAATGTGAGTGTGTACCTAAAATCCCAAGAGGAGAATGGAGGAGAAGGGACTGTGGTGTAGCCATCCTCCATGGCATGGGGGATTTCTCACTTTCCCTTACCCTGTCACTCTCTTTGCACACTATGGCAAAAACCTGAAGAAAAAAAAAAAAAAGTAAAAACAATCCCTTTTCAATTACCCTTTAAATTTTCATAATCATAAGTTATTTTTACAAACTCAAGATGAACTCAGAAACAAAAGTATAGTAAACTAGAACATAAGCATATTTAATTTTATACAGTATGTATAAGATGTGTTAATGAAAGTTATGTATGCTGATGGCTCCTGAGAACTAGTGATTTCAGGGAAAAAAGAGAAATGAAGATTTTCTGATAATCCAGCCTCCAGCCCACACAATCTTGAGTGGTAGGAAGCCCCTCAAGCCTTCTCTGTCTCTGCCTCTGTCTTCTCATTTTTTTGTAATTTTTCCTTTTAAAAATTTTTTAAGGTAAAGTATTTTTTTTAAATAATAGTATTTTTTCCCCTTCTTTCTCTTTCTTTGTTGTTGTTGTTTTTTCTATTTCCTTTTCTTTTTATTTTTTCTCATCTCTCTGCTCCTCAATCTCCATTCACTGTGCTTCTTAGATGGATCTAAGGAAAGCTATAGCCAAACATCCAAATACTATCAGGGTTAACACATTCCTTAATATCTACTGAATCTGTTGTGCAGAGGGATCAAAATGCAACAGCAAAGAGATTCCAGATCACCTCTTTCTGCATGCTTCTGAACGCTCATATTGAACTTGAAGTTTAAGAGGAAACACGCCATCCATGAGATGATTAGAAATCACCACAGTGCCACAAGAAATATGGGAAAACAAGAAAATACCTCTCTTCTAAGGGAAAAGAATAACTCCTCTTCATCCACGGACAGTTCAATGGAAATCATGGAAATGTCTGATAAAGAATTTAGAATATTCATAATGCGAAACTAACAGAGATGGAAGAGAGACAATGAACTGTGGAAGAGAAAGGAGATGATGAGTTCCAGGAGGTGAGGAAATTCTTGCAATATCTAAGAGAGGAATTACACACTTTAAAAAAGAATCAAATGGACCTGTTAGAGATGAAGGCTATCATATAAGAAGTCAAAATCTCCCTTGAAAGTATTAAAAGCTGACTAGATCATACAGAAAATAGAATCTCAGACGTAGAAGAGAAAATTGCTGGCCTAGAAAAATCCACCACGAAGACTGAGAAAATTGCCCAAAAATGAAAATATACGAGAAAAACTAGATACCATCAAACATCCAAATATCCAGATAAATGGTATCCCAGAAGGGGAAGAGACTCATAAGGGCACTGATCATCTATTCCATGAAATCCTGCAAGCAAACTTTCCAAACCTAGAGAGGCATTTAAAGATCCAGTACCAAGAAATACAAAGGACCCCAAATAGAATCAACCCCAGATCTTCTCCAAGACACATTATAGCCAGATTAACCAGAACCACAGACAAAGACAATATACTAAGATTGGTAAGAGAGGAACAGCAAGTTACCTACAAAGGATATCTCATCAGGCTAACATCAGACCTCTCATCAGAAACAATGTGAGCGAGGAAAGAATGGGAAACTCTATCCAAAGTGTTAAGGGGAAACCAATTTCAACCGAGAATACTGTACCTGGCAAGATTATCCTTCATATGGGAAGAAAAGACAAGAACTTTCTCAGATAAACGAAACCTGAGAGAATTTACCAGCACCATACCAGATCTCCACAAAGTTCTCAAGCGAGTGCTTTATCAGGAAAGTTAAATGCAGACACACAGAAATAAGAGTTCAAAAATCGAAGAAAATGGTCAAGCCTGGAGTTGAATATTCTATCCCAGAATTTAATCGGGAAGATTGAACCACAACAGAAGATAGATTAAGTACATGAGACTGAACTGGTGAAATAGCATTTTATGACTTTTGACTAAA